GCAGAGCTTAAGAAATGAATAGAAAGTACCAAGGGTAAGCTTGATTAAATTGTGTTATATACCTTTAGAACATTCAGGTTGGATAAAACTCAGGTAAGAATACCTTTTTTTCTTGTTGAAATCAGGTTTGTTCAGTACCGTTGGATGGAATAAGTAATGTTACATACTTAAAGATTGATGGAGCAATTAATATGTAGCCTCAGGGAAGGCTCAAGAGACCTTACCTCTAAATTGCCAGGTGACTCTTCAATCAGCACAGCCTCAGTTCCATTGGGATTAGGAAGACAGTTTATGTTTTTCTTTGAATACTTAATAATAGCCAGTTAATATTTTTTTWAAAAAATTCTTTTCTTTTTTAAAATTCAGTTTTAAAAATATATGATTGTATTTGAGTAGAGTATATTTTAGACTGCCTAGCATATATGTTAAAAGTACATTTGTTGAAGTCTAGTGTAATTATAAAATGTGTACAAAGTTAAGTGTACAGCTAAATAAATTCTCACACAATCCAGGAGCCAGTACCGAGATGGAGCATTGGATCATTTCAGAGTTCCAAAAGCCCCTTCATGTGCTGTTCTATTCATTCTCCACAAAGAGTAACCCCTATCCAGATTTCCAAGAGGATAAATTAGCTTTTTTTGGTTTTGAATTTGACATAAGTGGAATTATACACTCTGTATTCTACTGTCTGGTTTCTTTCACTCGATACTATTTTGTGAGATTCATCATGTTGATGAATGTGGCAATTGTTCATCCTCATTGCTGAATATCCTATTATGAGAGTGTATTGAATAGATCACAATTTGTTTTCCTGTTGCTAATAGGACTTGGGTATTTCCTAGGTTGGAGCTATTATGAATAGTGCTGCTATGAACATTTTTGTACTTTGATGAATATATGACCACATTCTGCTGGATATTTACCAAGGATGGGAATTGCTGGGTCAGAATATGTGCATTTAATTAACTTTAGAAGATACTTCCAGTTTTCCAAAGTGTTTGCATTAATGAGAGAAAGGTCAGTTTTGTCTTCAGATCAGAATATTCAGTTCTCATGAACATAAGAATAAGGCATTGTTTTCTTTTAATTATGGAAATCAGTAATGAGGATTTATTATTAGAAATTCATTCATTATTAGAAAGATTTCCACTGTAAAACTCCACATCTATTTTAGTGATATTTTTACCATACAATAAACCATTTTTACTTTTAGTATTTGAGAACTGTTTAAAACAGGAGCAATGAATGGGSAGTGGTGGGCAGAATCTTTGGCTTTACTTCTAGGGATTTGTAAACCAAGGACAGTTTTGACTCCCCAAGGGTTCTGTGCAAAGTAAGAGCTCAAGTTTCTGGGATTCTTTTTGGTTCTTCAGGAAGTTTGAATAGGGAAAGTAACATCTTGGAATAGAGTGCAGACTACTCACCTGCCGCCCCTTCCCTGAGCCCCGTTAGTGGGAGTAAATCATCATAGAGGACTGAAGAATCTGACCTGTTGGGATTACTCGTCATTTTCATGTTTTAGGAAAACTCTTCTTTTCCATTTTCATTTTTTTAGTCCTCTAACAACCAGGTCTAGAATAACCTCAAGATCACCAAAATGTAGGCTAAGTTATATAATTTTGAATTCCYGGATTTTACATTACCCCTACCACACTATAAAAATCCCACTCACATTCTGTTTCTTCTATAATTCACATAGCAATAAAAAGTATAAAAAAAACTAAAACCTTTGTCTGGGACTTTTTAATTGCTTCTTGACATAGACCTTGCTTAAAATAAAATAGGTATAAGGAAATCAAATCTTCATTTTCTGTTCTACATACAGGCATTAGGATTCCTAGAGTATACTGAACAAAAAGGTATTATAAATAAAAATTTTAATAGTTCAGCTAAAAGCAATGCCCATTTTTAACCGAAGACCTTGGTTCAGAACTCAGCACTTCAATTTTTTTTTTTTTTTAACCTGGGATATATTTTCTAACCTTTGAGCTGTAGCTTTTTGAACCTGTGAAGWATGGTTTCAGATCCCTGCCCTGCCTACCACATACAGTTGTGAGGAGCAAATGCAATAATTCATGTGAAAGTGTGAATCATAAAAGTGCTAAGTTTTTGAGAGCTGAGCTTAGTAAGCAGGTTTTAAGAAAGAAGATTACTGTCCCTTGACCTAGAGCACAGTGGAAATTCACTCTGTACCCTGAGATCTTGTGCACATCCATAAGGCTGACCTTTTAACCTTGTACCCACCATGGCTGGTTGGAACATGTCTAGTTGTCCTGGCTTCTCCCTAAACTTTTGAAACTTAAACTAAACTCCAATACTGAAACATGGGGAAGGAGAAGGGACAGAATTTATTTGCTTTGGTGATAGCACCAAACTATGACCCTAACATGTTATTTTTCATTGCCGGGTGATTAGAGGGTGGTGCTYTCATCTTGGACTTCTTAATTGCTTTTAAATTTTTCATTTACTCAACCACATTTATTAGGTGTAGAGAATATAAAAATGTTTACATGCCATGAAAGGATCTACATAAAAATATTAGTCATCATAACTGTTAAGATAATAAGTAAAATAGGATTTGGAACAACCTCATGGACCCATTCCCAGCATGTATTCTTTAGTACTACTGAGTAGTTTATCTTTCTTTTAACAAAAGGAGATGAAGTATCTGATTTGGCCCTTGTGGGTATTGGCTTGAGCAGTGGATCTGGTTTGCTTCCTGGAAGTAATCCAGGCCTCATTTACTAGTAACTTCCAGGAGGACCACCTTCCAAGTTAGGACAGGTACTGTGTTCATTAGGATGTCACTGCCATAAAAAAAATTAAAAAAGAAATTGATTGTATTTATCAAGATGAATGTAATCATTAATCACTACTCCATCAATCACTACATGAACTATGTTACTCTTGGTGCCAAACAATTTTGAAAATCAAATTTTATAAAAATATTGAATATTTTCTGGGAATCTGAGTGGTAATGACATAAGCCCAGCCTCCAGAAAATTGGGAGTGCAGGTGTATAGGTTCATAATTCCTTTTTCAAAACGAGAAGTGTTTTATGATTCAGAATCCTGATGCCCATTGAGATCTGGAGTAGAACCATATMATTAAGTGCATTAGCTGGTGTGTACATCAAAATGAATGACTTTGTGGTTTTGTAAGGGCTATAAATACACATCAATTCTCATTAGCATTTATTATCAGGTAAGTTCAGGATATGCCATATTTTGCTAACAAATATATTACATAAAACTTGATTTTCAGAGCATTTGGAATTTTGGAATACACATAGGGATTGTTGATCTACCATAAATCATGTTAGCTCCCAATAGGACTAATTTTTRTCTGTATAAAGCAACAAGCTAGAAAATTCTAAGACAGAGAACCAGATCTGGAACCATACTTCCTGGCTTCATATTTCAGTCTTGCCAAGTGATTTTGAGCAACTTCTTTAAATTCCCAGGGTCTTACTTTTTCATCTTTAGAAACACAGCACTTTTTAAATGACGATTAAGTAAAATATGCACACAAGACAGACTATGTGCATTGCACTAGGCTTCTAATAAATACACTTCTTTCCTCATCTCTATAATGGAGACAATAGCACCTATCACAGATGTGTTTTGAAGACTGAAATAAGTAAGTAGATGTGTAATGTGCCTAGATGTCCATACCAGATAAGCACTCAGTAAGTATTAGCCAGCATTCTTATTATGAATATTACAATAAATCTATTTAAAAAATCCTATCAACAGAGTCATTTTTGAGAAAAGAAATGTACAATCTGTTGAATGAATGAGTGGCCTACTGGAACATGATGGGTGGCACCATGACGATTCTCAATGATAATTTTCCAAGCTGTGATTCCATTCCTGTCTTTCCTAAGTTTATTTGCTTCTCTTCACCTTGTATTCCCCCTTCCCCTCCCAGCCCCGGCAGCTTGATCTTTCTTCATTTGCATTCTGTTTAGATTGTACAGAGCTTGATGAACTTGGCACTTATCTTCCTCACCACAGCCATGCAGGTGTGTAAGGCTGCCTGGGAAGCCATCCCAGATGCTGACAAACTCTTGGCAACAGGATAGAAAGGAAAAAGGATATTTTGGCTGACAACTTCAGATCTGACTCCTTACTCATCTGGAGAGTTCAGTGGTATCTTTAAAGCTTTAAGATAGAGGATGCGGTTGCTGATCTCTTTTTGTGCCTCCCATAGAGGCCTATTACTTGGATTCTCCTTTTTCAGTTAGTTGTACTTTCATCTCTTGGGATTGCCCGGTTAAAGCTAYGGATTGGTCATGTCCTAAGTCTGTGAAGACATGTTAGCTGCAGGCGGTGTGCCGAGGAGTAGGAAGGTGTGAGGTAGGCAGGGGCTGCTGGAAGAATGTGTGTGTTGTGTGCAGTGGCTCGGCCTAACATCTTGGCAAGGCTGTCGTGTTTCCTGGCATGTGAGAACTGGATCTTCTCTTAAGGCCACACATAGTTGGCAAGCCCCATTATGTTACTCTCCCAAGGGGGTGCTTGAGTAACGAAGGTGATAGGTAGGTAATATTGGGTAGGTATTGGCTGGATGGGGCCATGAGAGAATGTGGAAARAATCCTTTTTAAAGAACTTTATTGCATTAGATTTTAGTGTCTGTAAACAATTACAGCATTCAGGGAGTGCAGGATTTAAATGAGAAACACAACTTTGTCAGATTATACCAGTCGGATAAAATGGCATGGGCTCCGGAAATCTATAATTAAATGTATTTTTTGAAAATGAAAAAATATAGTGTAACATCTGGTTTATTTCACTACAGAAGTGCCTGGGTAATGCTTATGTAAGTGTGATTGACTTTGGCTGATATTTGAGTTCTTCTCTGTAAAATTACTGTATTTTAATTAAGTTTTTTTTTCTACTTGATTCTATTTATCTTGTATGTAATAAATTACTCACATACAGAAAATGATGTCTTATTTAGAAAATCTAATGATGGTTTTTTTTTTCTCTTTTTGTTGCAGCGGATATTCAACTCCTTTGTTTACACTGAGAAGATCTCAAATGGAGAAAGTGAAGTACAGCAGGTAAGAGCAGTAGAGCACTTGGCATTGCCCAACTTTGCCTGACTTTTAGCTGTGCTTTGTTACTCTTTCCTCACAATATCCACCAGAGGTTCCCTGTCACTCTCATTATATGCTTTTGTGGACTTTTCATGCATAAGGATGAACACCTTCTACTTGAATTTCAGCGCAATGATTATGTGGAAGGTTTTCTTCTGTTCGTGTTATATCTTGGAAATATTTAATCTCTTTTGTCTTTAACATCTCTAAACTATTAAAAAAATATTTCATCTACTGTAGAAAATAAGTGCCATGCTTTGGAATCAGACAAACCCCACATGAAATTCTGCGTGTCCCTGATAAACAAATTTTCTTTTTTGAATCATGGTTTCCCAATCTTAAATAAGGGGATCATAAAATCTAACTCTATGAGGTTGGAGAATTAAATGATGTCAAATTAACTGAGAATGAAATGGAATCATCTGTGTGGAAGGTACTGGCATAGAGGCAGCTCATTAGATGTTGGCTTCTTTTGTTCTTTCTTCTTTTCTAGTATTTTCTCTTTGCTTCTTTCCTCCCATCTTCTTTCATTGCTCTGTGGAGTCATGAAGCTTTGAGGCCAGATTCTATTTACTTTATTTATAGCTGGCTTCAAATGGACTGCCTCCTAAATTAAAACAGTGTTGGTGAACATGGTCATAAATAATTGATCTGTGCTAGAAATGAAGAGTGGGAAAAAGGAGTTGGTTTTAATTTCAGCTCATCTACCAACTTCATTACAGTATGTGACTGTCAACTGGTCATTTGAAGCTAGGTTTGAAACTTAAGTAAAAGACAGAACCAAGCTAAAAACCAGACAGTGGTAAGGTGCTTCCATAGGATAAAAAAATAACCATGGTAAAATGCAAAATAACGTTAACTTTTGAAGTTTCTGTCCTTATTATATTCGTGGAGAAAAGCCTGACTTGATCTGAACTTCAGTGCTATACAAGAAGAACAAGCTTTGCAAGTGTCATTAGAGTGAGGTTATTTATAGGACAGTTATTTATTTACAATGAATTACTGTGGTTTCATCTTGAAGTTCAGCATTTCCTGTTCATAGACACTGGCATTTTTATTGGTTTCTGCAGGTTAAATTTAAAGTAATCATGCATATAACTTTTTCTTAGCTTTAGATATTTTTAAATACTGATGTCTTGAGATTGTAATGAATATGATGTGGTTGGCTGCACCAAGTCTTATTTTCATAATTCCTCTCTTATTTTTATTTCAACAAGCTAAAAAGTATTTTAGGATCATTAAATCTAGGAGGGTTTTAGAGGAGAAGATTGCTATAAAAAGCGTGAGGAAACTTTTCTGTAGACCGAAGGCCATTTGATAACCTTTTAAAGAAACTGATCCAGGGATATCACTTTTGCCTCTTTCCTCAAAGTAACAGATACAAGTTTGTACTTTGGCTGTTTTTAGTTGTGAAAGCTGCTTTGTTTTCTCAGACTGATGCCATTGCTTTACTTGTCTAGCTATGAACAAGTTTGGAAACCTTTAATATAGAAATCATAGCAGCTGATTAGCACTTATAGAACACTGGCATGAAGGCCATTTCGGTATTACCATCACATTGATGTTTACAATGTAATCTTGAAGGAAAGAGATTATCCTATCACAGATGAGGAAACTGAGGCTCCAAGAAGTAAAATAAGTTACCTTTAGTGTCAGGACTATGAAGTAGGAGAGCTAGTTTTTGCCATGAGTTTGACACAAATTTTTGTTACCTGTATTTTTAAATTGATAAAATTTAATTTAGAAATGTATGTTTTCATTCAAAAGAGAAGTCTTTGCTGAACTCTTTATCTAAATAAAGAGGGATTATCACGTAGTCATGTGTTCTTTTGTCTTCTCACCATTGGTTAAAAAGCTCGCTCTTAGACTGAGCCAGGAAATACTTACTTTAAAAAAAAAAAAAAAAAAAAAAAACTTTTTTTTTTAGTTGTAGATGGACACAATATCTTTATTTAACTATTTTTAAGTGATACTGAGGATTGAACCCAGTGCCTCACATGTGCTAGGCAAGCGCTCTGCCACTGAGCTACAACCCCATCCACAAAAGTACTTAACCTTTAACTTCTCTGCAATTTTGCCAGTCCTAAGCTGAACAAATGGATCTTAGGTCCCTTTCCTATCTAGAATATCGAGATTCGTATATAATTATCATTTTTATTTATCCTAAATTTTAATATATTCAGATTCTAAATAATTTCTTCTCTTCTGACATCGTTTCTAGATCTTTTCAGCACCGCAGTCACTATAACAACCACCGCCACCACCTTAACTGGTTACTTTTGCGTAGCTGATGAAAAATTTGCTATCTGTTCATTATGATAAAAATTCTATGGGTATCACCATTTTATAGTGAGGAAACAGATTTCTGATATCAACTTCACATAATTAAAAACTGTCCGTAAAACTCTGGACTCCATGATCCTGGACAGCAGTGAGGATGAAATCTGTGGGGAAGTGCCTACCTCCTACACTTCCCATTCTGTAACATGTTCCCCAACACTCACACTGTTGTCCCCTTTGAACTTCAGAACACCAGGAAGCAATTAAGCTGGCTTTTTAAAAATTTGGGAAATCTTTTCATACATGTAAAGCTATGTATAAAACATATAGGTATAGGAAAAGAAGTACACTAAAATGAACATCCTAACCTGCTACCCAGCTAACGAAATAAAACATTAACAAACAGAAAGCCCTTGTGTCACCAAAGGGTGTCTTTCTCCCAGAGGCAAGTTTGTTCTGATTTGTTGTTGTTGTTGTTAGCCATTTCCTTGTACTTTTTGTGTTTTAATTTGTTTTATTCATCCCCAAATTAATTTTCATTTTGGTTATTGTTTTAGTCAGCTTTCTCACTGCTATGTCCAAGAGACCCGACAAGAACAATTTTAAAGGAGGTAGCAAAACTTCCTTTGGTAGTCACAGTTTCAGAGGTCTCTGTCCATAGATGGTCAACTCCATTGCTCACGGCCTGAGGTGAGACAGAAAATCATGGCAGAAGGGTGTGGTGAGGAGGAGAGCAGGTCAGGACATGGCCACCAGAGAGAGGGAGGAAGGGAGTTACGAGAGAGAGAGAGAGAAACTACTCTAACACTGTGCTCTCCAGGGACAAAATATACACCCCAAAGTCATGCCCCCAATGACCCACCTCCACACCCTATCTACCTACAGTTACCACCTATGTCCAAATGCCCTAAATCTGTGTGTGTATGGACAGGATGACTGTTCAGTTCAGGTTCAGTCACCTCTCTGAAGCAGAGAGGTTTTGAGTGTTCTTCTTGACTGGACAATGCCAGCTGCTTCCACAGCATTTCCCATGGGTTACTTCCCTGAGACCCTTTTATAAATGTGCTAATCTGCATCTTCTTCAGTACTCCTCCATATATCTGATTTTGAATCTTTTGCCAATTTGAAGTGTCTTRAAGAGTGTCATGTGAGTTTAGTTTGTTTTGTTATGATTATTAATAAGGTTGAAATGACTTTTTACATGTTAGTATACTTTTATGGATTTTTTTTTCTTTTTTTACTTTTTCTTTTCTTTTTTTTGGTGTGTGCATGTGTGCACATGCATGTGTGTGTTGGGAATTCAACCCTGGACATATAAATTCTAGGCAAGTGCTCTATAGCCACAGCCCATTTTGTGTTGTTATGTCAAATGTCTATTAAAACCTTTTTCACTTTTTTTTTATTGTTGCTGAAATGTTTATTTTATAAGTGCTGTATATGTTCTAGATCAGTGGTATCCAACAAGAACTTTCCTTGATGAGGCTGTTCCATATTCTCTAGTACAGCCAGCCGCTAGCTACTGTGACTATGSGTCATCTGAAATGTATTATCTAGAGCTACAAGTAATTACATTTAAAACTTAATACTTGACTTTAAAATAGCTATATATGGATGGTCATTATCATTAAATTGCCTTGTAGATGTGTTTTATAAATGTATTCTTCCATTTTTTAGCTTGTCCTTTACTTATTATTAAATCTTTTAAAAAATTTTTTATTTTGTTGTTGACGGACTTTTATTTTATTCATTTATTTATATATGGTGCTGAAAATTAAGCCTGGTGCCTCACACAGGCTAGCCAAGTGCTCTACCATTGAGCCACAACCCCAGCCCCTTACTTTAATAATATCTTAAAGAATTGAAGTTTTAATTTTGAATCAATTTTCAAACATCTGTCTTTCCTTTTGGTCTCTGCTCTCTGTGTTCTGTTAAGGAAATTCATTTCTACTCTCAAAGGTATGAAAGTGTTCTGCTATATTTTCTTCTAAAATGTTCACCTCTCTCATTTAAGATTTATCCACCTAGAATTGATTTTGGTGTTGGATGTGAAGTAGATATTCAATTTCAGCTTTTCCCCATATGTGTTTCCAAAGGTTCTAACACTCTCTATTGAACAGTCCATGCTAACTGTTTATGGTATGTTTCTGTTGCTAATCAAGTTTCCATGTGTGTGCAAGTTTGATTTGGTTCCACTGGTCTGTTTATCTCTCGTCATGCTAGTACCCCGCTCTCCCACTGACTTTTTATATCAGATTTTGATATCTGGCAGAATAACACTGTTCTCTCCAATAATATTTCTTGATTTCTCCCAGAGCGAAGACTGGACATCTACCTGGTGTCCTGGGTAATCATTAAAGTAGAAACTCAGTCTCCAGATTGTGCCCTTATTCCTAGACTCTGCAACCAGAGTTTGGCACTCTCTCACTTCYTAGATTTCTTGCTTTCGCTTGCCCCTCACAGTGATTTTTTTCCCCCATTCATGCCACTTCCTTTTACCAATGATAAAAACAGTTAAAACTGCTTGAAGGATATGTTTGAGATACCAAAAATAGGCTAGCTATTCAAAACAGATTATTGACTCTTAATTTGTGCTCAGACGAGGGGGGAAATCATTCTTTCCACGTGTTTGTACGATCTAAAATGACATGAATTTTCTATTCATCAGTATTTCTTCTCCTTCTCTA